GCTGATCAGAGAGAGACAGAGAGAGGGAGAAAGCACCCTCCTAGTGGGGCATGGTCTCACAGCAATCCCTTCTCCATTTCTCTATCCTGTCAGGACTTGGAGCATGCGTAGCACATGCCCAACATGTCTCTCAAGCTGCTGGACTAGGACTCGAACCATGGTTGGCCACACGGAATCTAGTTCCCTTAACCACTAGGCTATGGGCTGGCAGCTATTATTTTTTATTATGACTTAATTATACATATAATTAATTTTTTTAGAGAAAGATTTTTACTGTACGGTTTGTGTGCTCACTGGAGAGACAGAGACAGAGAGACAGAAAACAAAAAATCACCCCCCAGGGGAGATGGCCACACCACAGTCCCTTCTCCTCCATTCTCCTCTCAGGATTTTGTGCATGCACACACATATACCTAGTGTTTGAAGCCGCTGGGTCCGGGACTCAAACGGCAGTGGACTACACAGCAGTCCAGCAGCATAACCATTATACCATCTGCGGTCCCTCCTTAGGCTATATTTGATTCATGTGTATTTCTTAACACTATTCCGGTAAGAACAACAATGAAGCATGTTTTAATCTGTTTATTCTGTTATGCTTTGTCAAGTAAGATTACTTCCCAATTGTTACAAAAATATGTAACTGCTCGTTCACATCTCCTGTTCTTTTTTTAAAAAAATATGTGGGGCCAGCAGTTGGCGTAATGGCTATGTCGCTGGACTCCCATGTAGTCGACCACGATTTGAGTCCTGGACCTGGTGGCTTAACCTCACACTGGATATGCATGCGTGCCCAAGATCCCAAGAGGAGAATGGAGGAGAAGGGATTGCGGCATGGCCATCCCTCCTGGGGGGTGATTTCTCACTTTCTATCTGTTTCTCTCTGTCTTTCTGGTGAGCACACATGCCCTATATAAAAAATGGAGCTCTCCATAAATAAATAAATAAATAAATAAATAAATAATAAAAATGTATATGTGAGACCCAGCAGGTGGTGTGGTGATTAAGGCACTGGATTCCCACATCTCTGATTGCAGTTTGAGTTCTGGACGCAGCAGATCGAAATACATCGGGCATATGTGTGGGTACCAAAAATACTGAGAGGAAAGTGGAGAAGGGATTGGGGTGTAACCATCTGCCCTGGGGGGAGATTTCTCACTTTCCCTTTCTCTGTGTCTCTCCTGTGAGTGCAAGGGCTCTATGGCAAAACCCCAAATAAATAAATATGAGCTTGGGGCCAGCAGGTGGCATGGTGATTAAGGCGGCTGGACTCCCATGTGGCCGACTACGGTTCAAGTCTCGGACCTGGCAGCTTGCTTTCTTACTTTCCTTCTCTGTCTCTCTCTGGTCAACTTCAAAAACATCAAATAAAACAATGACAATGTATAAAATTGAATAAAATACTTCTTTAAAGAAAATATGTGCTCGGGGGAACCAGCAGTTAGCGTAATGGCTATGTCGCTGGATTCCCACGTAGTCGACCGCGGTTCGCGTCCCAGACCCGGTGGCTTAGAACTCACGCCGGGCGAGTGTGCGTGCGTGCCCAAGATCTCGAGAGGAGAATGGAGGAGAAGGGATTGTGGCATGACCATCCCCCCTGGGGGGTGATTTCTC